ATCTTGCTGTCTGTATATAATGTCAACAAATTTAATTACTTGTACTTATATCTGCACTATATAATTTACTGTTAATCTGTTCACACTGTAAATAACTCAAGTTAATAGCTGTATATACCTTAGTGTATTCACCTCACTCCATTAATTCTGTTAATACCGTTAAGTACTAAATATCCTGCTAGTATATTCATATATATTTATATATATATACACATATACATGTAATGTTATTTTTTTTTTAAACATATTTTTGTACATTTTCGTACAATGCGATGTACTTTACTGCTTTGCACTTCTGGTTAGATGCTTAACTGCATTTCGTTGCCTAGTACCTGTTCTTGTGCAATGACAATAATACTGAATCTAATCTAATCTAATCTAAAAAAAAGTTGTTAAAAAATTGCCTAAAATTAACTTTAATTTGATGATTTGGTGCAAGACCCCAAACACCCCTAACAAGTTCAGTTTTTTGGACCTCAGTTTTTTCTAAAACCCTGTTTACAGCAATGCTGGTCAGGTACTCCTAAACACTTCTGTAACTGTATCTCTGTGTAGCCACAAAGCTAGCTTAATGCTAAGAAAACAGCCCGGGATTAAAAATGGCAAAAGCATTAGGTTTTCGCTGTGTTTAGGGTTAGGGTTGTACTGGCACCTTATTTGCTCCAATTCAGACACTGACCTCAACAGAAGGGTAACCAAAATATAGAGTCATTGTGTTGGTACATCCACAACTTTTGACAATGGAAACGCGAAAAATGTGTAATGAACTGAACCCAACTGCTTGGTGGAAACGGGGCTTATGAGTCTCTCTGCCTTACTCTAATGCCTGTCCTCCATCCAAAAAACTATTTTTGTGACAGAGAGCATACAAAGTGAGGAGAGTAAAACGGGACAATAACTTAGACATCTGCAGAGGAGGAATTTATTCCCTAAATCACTGTCATTAAAGCCTCAATCAGAAAGAGAGAGGGGTTAGGAGGAGGAGTCCCAACAAGCCTGGTCATGATAGGTAAAGAGAGGGAGGAAAAGAGGAGATCAGGAAAAAAAAAATATTAAAAGAGCAGAGAGGAAAGAGTGAATAAAGTTCTTTCAGATAATAATGGTGCTGTTAGGACACTGAATATTTATCACGGTGGCTGTTGGAGAGCCATGCCTATAAAATCACTTTTCAGCTGACAAGGGATGCAGCAGAAATAATGAGGGAAAAAGATAGAGAGGAAAGCAGAACTGATGGAGCAAAGAGGTGTGGAAAATAGAAAGAGAGATAAGAATTATTTCTTAAACTGGAGGAGATGTGGAGAGAGATATAAACAGGGAATAACGTATGGGTTGTGGGCAACAGAGAGGGAATAGTGCTCTTTACACATGATAATATACAGTATTTACTGACTGATGGGATAAAACTTATTAATTTCTACTTTACGACCTCATGTTTTTTTTGTTTCATTCTTTTCTTGCAATGCTTTTTTTTGCCATCTTTTCCGCTGTATGTTTCACTAAGAGCATAGAAAGGGGCCACTTTTTTGTTTTCATACATTATATGGGAAAAATAAGCAATACAATAATTTCACTGTGAACGCCCATTATTGCATATGGGGTTAGGGTTATTTACAGCACGGATGACAGCAGCAATGTTCATACCCTAACAGAACTGTTAACTGAAGCTGCACTCTGGAAGAAGTTTACGTTAAAGTCACAAGATGGGTTTGCAACCAAGAGGATTGTCCTATCAGTGAGGAAACTGTACAACAAATCAATTGTGTCACTTGTGGGACTGAGTGCTCCATTCATTCAAAAGCAGTTCCCAAACTTATCTTGCCAACCACAGCTGCACAAATTCCCCTCCTCCATCAGACAGTTACATCAACATGACTTGTGGAGGATTTGCAACAGCAGTTGCTCTCTTTGGATGAAGTGAAGACCTATCCATGTATCACAGAGCAAGCCTTTTCATAGTCTTAATGCTCTGAGGCGAGTATGCAGTCCTGCAGAGGACTCAGAGTCCAACCTGGAAGTAAACAAAATGGCAATGGGATTTTTCCATTGGATTTTAGATTATTGTAGAAAATAAGCACTGTGGCGATGATAACCTTCACAAATGAACACCACATTTATGATATATTTGAAGTGCAAATGGCTAGGCTACAAACGAACTACACCTTGGTCGCATGAGTTCAATGTCACCACCACTAAACTTCCAACTTGTAATTAAATCTTGTAACTAAAAACCGAGTTTGAGTTAAAATAGTTTGCAAGTATAAACAAAATAAGGCTGTAAAGGCGGACTAGTGAGTAGATAAGTCTTTGTGTTTTAATGTCACCGACAATCTCTGTAGTCTCATCTAAGCACTTGTTAGCGACCACATTTTTTAAGACATTCAAAATTCACAGGTAGAGTATTTACTGATGTATTTTGTGTCATAGAACAAAGCTTGTGTTAACCACAAACTTTACTTTAGACATCTAACTAAGAACCCATTCGAAAAACCCACTAACTTAAAGGAAGGAAAACTACATACCATTGACACCCTCCTTTCTCTCTTGTTGTCATGTGAGCTTTCAGGAGAGTCACAGTTAATATGGGAATTGAGAAGGAAGCTGAGTACAGTTGGATCTTTCTGTTATATCTCTTTCATCTCAAAGGAATTGGACTAATTACATGATGAGATTGGAGTAGTAGAGGGGAAAACCCCCACAGGCACCGTAAAACAGATTCCTCCTGTTTGTTAAAGCAGCTACAAGGAGTGTTTAACTGTTTATGAAACAGTCATTTCATTTAATACTGATGCCTCTATATGATCTACGTAAGCAAATGAGGCCATTAGCTAAAATATTGGCTATTTTTATACAGTTATATAGTTAGACGAAAAAATTTAAAGCACACAGACCAGAAGCTAGTTAAAAGGAAGCAGGAGGAGATTTATCTGTAACAATTTATTTGGATAGTCCGCCTACAGATGGTTTATATAGTATTCCTAACATTTTAACTGTTTTGCTTTGTCTGTAGATGTAAAGGTCCATTGTGTATCATTTAGGAGGATCTATTGGCAGAAAGTGAATATGATATCCATAGGTATGTTTTCATTTGTGTATAATCACCTGAATACAGAATAGTTGTGTTGTTGTTACCTTAGAAAGAGCTGTTGTTATGGAGTCATATATCATATAAGTTATTAATATTACATATAGATACAATACCTCAACGCTTTACAACTTGTCTTTCTTTATTCACTCTTTATTCTAGGAAACACTACCGCTTTTGTCCACGGGGGCACCAAAGTCAACAAAGAATTAAAGCTGCAAGCAGCGATGAACGGGCCCACGCACTCAACGCAACTTGGGGTGTGCTGCGGCTGCGTCACGTGCCGGCGTAACATGTGCGGACCACAACATGAAAATTTCATGTAAATCAGATCAAAATCGCCATGCAGCGCAAAATTCAAAATGGGCGACTTCCGACAGCACGAAAAAGGCGCAGGACAAGTCAGACAAGTGAAGTTTGGAACCGAATGGACAATGTACACTAAGTATAGCAAGTTCTTGTGTTCTGGCAGTACACCCTTTAACAAACCATCACCACAATCATGAAATACCATCAACAACATGTTTCGCATTTCCTGACTAAATTTCAGCTAGATCTGATCATCCTAGAACATGGAAGTATAAAAAATGACATTTCCTTTCACCACTAGGTGGTGCTCTTACTATTACTGAATATAGACATGTTCAGGGCCGGACTCTTATCAAACGTGAAGTTTTGTTGAGATTGGATCATGTATGCAGAAGTTATGGAAAATCCCTCTTTCATGGCGAGTCATTGAAATTCCACGCCATTAACATATCATTGCGCAACCTTGATATTCCATAAGAAAAAACAGCCTGTTTTCAGCTTGTGACATAGTGACATTGTAAGTTTTTTAAAATAGTTAATTTAGCTTAAGAAGTAGTCAAATTTGCTCAACACATAAAGGAACACTTTGTCATTCAATTTATCACAAACATTCAAATTCAGAATCACCAAATTTGGAGATACATGGTTTTCCCTGGTAAAGAAGAGTATAATTTTGAAGAGTACCTAGTAACTAAAGCTGTCTGATGATTGTAGTGGGATAAAAAGTACAATATTTACCTCTGAGATGTAGTTGAGTAGAAGTATGAAGTTGCATAGAATGGAAATAATCATGTAAAGTACTTTAAATGTGTACTTAAGTACAGTACTTCGTTACATTCCACTAGTGTGTGTGTGTGTGTGTGTGTTTGTGTGAGACGAAGCTAAGTACAACAGGAAACTATTAAAATGGGTGTTGCGGCTAGGCTCATCTGCTAACCTTGACTTGTCTTCCCACATTGACATGAAAAAAAAGGATGTTTCCTGTCATCATTTGTTAAACAGACCTTTGTACACACACACACCAATTCACAAAACCTCAAATTTTGTCACAAGAGTCTATCAGTGTTTTGTGACATGTTTTCCATGTTTGGCTTTGTCAAACTTTTCTGTCAGAGTTTCCAGGCACCAACAGCCCTTCCTGCTTCATCTGAGGACACGTGGATGCTTTTTTACGTGCAGTATTTGATAACAGCATAGCAATAACGTGTGTAAATACTGTGAACATTGGAGAATCACCACACAGATGATTGTGAGCTTCTACCATCATCTAAACTATATTAATCCCTGTCTCCTAGAAATTACTTAAATACTGTAGTCACTATGAGTGGATATTGTATTGCAAGATCAGATATATTGGCACATTTCAATGCAGACAAAAGTTTCCACACACAAACACACAGCACTGATTTAAGTTTCCATGTGTTGTGGTCTTGTCGTATCAGTGATGATAAAAAGTGCAGATGTTACATGTTGCCTGGTTTACAACATGCAAATACAGACTGCACACAAATAGAAAGACAAACACGACACAGACAAGTGCACATACAATCATTTATGGTTATAAAGAAAGACAGCAAAACATCTTTTAAAGCAATTGCCAAAATCTTACCTTCATGTTTCTTCTTCCCCTGTTTCCATGTCGGTCTGGTCTCAGCAGGACATCCAAATGACGACCCACAATTGCTTTGGACTGTAGCAGCTTGGACAGCTGCTGGAATGGTGTCAGTGGAGACATTCCGGGAGAAAGAAGCGATCCTCTGTAAGATTGTTCCTACAGTATCTTTTCCATCCTCCAAAGACCGAATGGCTCTGGGGCTGGATGGGCTGGAAGGGCTGTAAGGGCTAAGCAGATTGGAGACCACCTGAGCAACTGAGCAAGGCCCTGAGGGAATCTCCAGTTTTAGGCTCTGGGCTGGAGAAAGGGGCACTGGGGAGCTTATCATCTCTGTGACAGGGATGGAGCCCTGTGAGAGAGTTGGAGAGAAAGGCAAAAAGGGATGGTGAAGGGAGAGGGGTGGGATGTCAGAAGAACTTTCCAGGCTGCTGAGAGAGGCTGAAGGGCTGGCTGAGGTGGATGGTGGGCTGGTGTGTTGTTGGAAGCCTCCTGTGCTCCTTGGAGGAGGCTTGGGGGGGGGGTGGCTCATGGATCCCCCTTGAGCCTTGGTGGGAGAAGAGGTTGAGGTACTGCTTACCAAGCTGTCCAGGTCTAAGGGAAACTTGTTAAGACGTGGAGTCTCTTTGGCCTTGGGCTGCATAGCCTTGAGAATCTGGGGCCTTTGCTGCTGGCAGTGGTTTTTGGAGCCACAGTAGCCCTCCTCCCCAAAGGAACTGGCATTATGAAGACGACCATTCCAGTTGGCATTAGCATTGGCATACCTCAACCCTGGAGATATCCTGTCTCCACCGCTACCCCTTTGCATACTCACCATTCCACCTCCTGCATCACAAATCTGGAGGTCTAGGCTGGGCATGGAGCCATGGTTCACCCCCTGAGGTTCTGGAACACCCAGCATCATCCCTGGCCCCTGGTCCATCTCAGAGTGGAAAACACTCCCATGGGAGGAGAAATTCTTTAGGTTGGGGGTTCTTTCCAGGTTGGCACCTCCCTCTAGGTGATGTGGGAACTGGGGCTGGGTTCGGTGGTACTCTCCTTGAGGTGGAGGGCTGGAATATGACCCCAGTTTAGTAGGGGGAAGGGCACCTCCACACCCTCCAGAGTACTCCAGACTGGATGTGGAGCTGTGTAGGCTGTCGTTGTCACTGCCTGGCCCAGACATGGAGTAATTGCTGGGGTTTAACTTGCTCTGGAAGGATGCAGCTCTGGTCACGGAGGAGCCGTTGTTGTGGATGGCCGGCTTGTTCATGGTTCCTCGGTTGAACGACAAGCTACTGACTACAGAACGGGACTTAAGCACTGGGCTTGGATTGGAACTCAGGCTGATGCGGGAGTGGTGGGCTGTAGAGCCCAGATTGTTGTTGTTGTTGTTGAAGGCTAATGAAGGGGACTGGCATCCTCCTCCCCGCCCCTCACTGGCTTTGTTGTGGTTCAGGAAGAAATGGGGGGATGAGGGAGAAACGGGGGTGGAGACGGCGGTAGCTGTAGAGAACGATGGTATGTCGTCCACCTCTTCAATGTCAAAGGATCTCTTCAGCGCTGCAGGTGGAAATAAGGAATATACAGGTTGTTAATAAAATGTCTCAGCTCTATCTATCACCTATCTTCTACTAATTGTAATAAATTTTAGCTTTTGTTTTAATTCTCTTGCTATCGGAAGGGCTGCATATGTGATCAGTCAAGGACTTCCTTTGTCTGCCAAACAGTGTTGGAGAAAAACTTTTAAGGTGGAACTGCTTTATTCTGTGTTTTTAACGGTTTTAACAGTGTCTCCATTTGTTTTGGAGAGGAGGAGACCTCTGCGGATAATTCAGCCCCCCGGTAGACAGTTTAACAGTGACTGAAACTAAAGCCAGTAAAAGCAAATCTTTGACAGTGTAGTGAATACTATGTGTGTGGACGTATATACTCTGCAGTAGGTGAATGTGCCCTGTGTCTGCTCAGAAGATCATATTAAATCTGTCTCTTTTGGTTGGTGGGTCCTGAATGCTCTAAGCCACTTGTCTTTGTATGGGAACACTGTCCGCTTCCTCTGTTGAACACACACACACACTTCACACACGGTACCTTCAAGCTGCAAACACAAAGGGTGGATTGAGGTCAGAGCTGAAGTCAGGGCATCCAGTAGTTTTGTGTTACAAAAACCAACCACTGTAACGTGACACACCATGAGAAGAAGTGAATGGGTGGGTCGCAGGAGGAGGGGTGTATAATTACAGTTCCAAAGTGAAAGCTGAGATGTCACCCAGAGTGGTTTACAGCTGCTACCTGCATCATCTGGTGAAAATCTCAATATCTCTCCCTCTATACCAAACCATCACAAGATATTTAGTTTTATCATCATGTCACCTTGGCATGCTTATTACACTCATCGCATAGCATAATACATAACTGATTAATTAAAGTCCCAAGTTTTGAAATAAACTAATAATACTAATAATTTCTTCTCTTGTAAATCTTTAAGTTTTAGAAATAAAAACAACACATTAAAAAAATTGTTCCACAAACTCATTAAAGTGAAAAACATATATGTAATAATTTTATATTTTCCAATACAACTATTTAATTTTCAAGCACCATAATAATGAAACAGCAACTGTGAACAATGATTTTTTTAAATACTGATTTTTTTCTTTCTAAAATAAAATAATATAAATAAAAAATACATATATATTTTCTAATGAAGAAAAGGAAATGAACTTAACTAAAGATTATAGGTAAGCAAAACTAAGACATTTGAGGACGTCACTTTGGGCTTTGGGAAACACATTTTGTGAAACCATTTTATGGATCAAACAACTAAATGATTAATGGAGAATCACCAATGAAAATAATGTTTAGTATAACACTTATACTGTCATATAATGTGTTGTATGAACAGGCCGATGACCATCAGTGACACACACACACATAGGCAATAGCATTCAGTGGGTGTTGAGTGCAATCACTAATGCTGGCCTTTGAGCTGCTTGTAGAATGTCTCTGTTTATAGAGGTGCATTATCCTGTTTGTTAATATTACAGATCAGTGAATTAATTCAGTTAACTAGCTGTTTAGAATGGTGCTAAACACACATAAGTCTCAGGTAAGAAACCAAAAATCCCTCAGAAGAACAGGATGGGCTCATTTTCTATTAAAAACAACTAAAATAGTAGGATTGAGAGAGTATTCAGCTTTCGTGCATGAAGCCAAAAAAGCCAGTTCCCCTAAATAAATGCATATTGAGACCAGAGAGTTCCCCTGGCCAAGCCAGCTAACTTCCTGTTTAGCCTTCCTCTAACTTTAAATGGGGATAAAATTAATTAATCATGCAGCTCTTCAAGACTTTCCAAATGTTATTGGACTTCATGGATCAAATTCTGACAGTGAAACAAATCGCTCCCTATGTACATAAAAACGGCTCAATCTAAGGTAACGAAAACATAACAAATCTTATTTTCAGCTGATTATACATTAATGAAGACATGAATGCAGCACCACCAATACACCCACAAAAATATTATTTGGTTTGTGCTATCTGGCTGTGAAGTTTCAACTTTAATTTTCATTAATGCTGTAGTAGATGAATCATTTACAATCACTAGTTCCAACATAAGGGCTTGCTGCTTTTCTCTGTTTTATATTATTGTAAAAAGGATATCTTTGTGTTGTGGATTGGTGGTTGGATAAAACAAAACATTCAAATTCTTGGAAATGAATTCATTAAAAATAAAAAACGATAACAAAAATAAATAAAACTGCAAGCAGGCCCTCGCTTCTTCAAATATCAAATACACAAGAAATATGTAAAGTTTGAGGCTGTTTGCAGAATGGACACTGAACTAAGAGGGGTTAGGGTTTCCTGTCATGTCAATTTTTGGCAGCATGCCACAACACACCGTTTGACCAAATCCAAAGCTTTTGATAACTTTTCATCTTAAACTTCTTTGGAGTGTACCAGCCCATTTTCAAGCCATTCTGATCAATTCCCTAGGAGGAGTTCGTTAAAATAGAAGCCCTGAAATTGTCAGAAATGGTGGCAAAATTTGACATTAAATTCAAAATGGCTTCCTGTTGGATTTAGGATATGGCTCCAAGAGGCTTTTTTTTTTCTTTCATCTTGACATGATACATAGAACTACTGATTTTCATACATGCTGGTGAAACGGGATGCCAGGGCTGATTTTTTTAATGTTTGTAGGGGGCATTTTTGAGCTATTTTGACACACCCACGTGCAAGACCCAGATTTGGGAATTTCTTTTTTACTAACAATAATAACAATAATATGCTGAGCCAATACAATAGGGCCCTAATTACTCAGTTAGGCCTTATATCACACACCTAACTTGTTTCAGTTCCTACCTGTGCAGCTATTGGCTCATAGCCTCTAGGCTCCAGGCAGGCTGGGGAGGGGTATGTGTGTGTTGTGTGAGGACTCGGCTGGGTTCGCTGAGGCTACAAGTGTGAACCTGCCCTCCATACAAAAGATAAGGAGTCCTGGTATCAGGTAATTGCTGGCACCCTGTCAAGCGCTGGGGAAATAATTACGGTGGCAGTGGTGCGCCCCGTCTCCGCTCTGTTTTACGTGTGTGTGTGTGTGTGTCTGTGTGTGTTGTCTATGTTTGGCTCCACTCCCTTTATTCTTACACTTTTACAGACCCTAATTCTTTCTACTTACACAATGCCTACTCAATCTGATGAGAGAGATGCTCTCGATCTCTCTCTCTCTCTCTCTCTCTCTCTCACACACACACACACACAAACACTCTCTATCCTTTCATGGTCGTTGCAGGCCACTGGGAAAGGTGTGTGTGTGTGTGTGTGCATGTGATGATAACTTGCTTCCTGTATAAACAGACTCCTGCTTTGTGCTTCATCTTCCTCCATAATGCTGCATTTATGAAGTGTTTAGCTGGTTAAACAATAATAATAATGGTGAATGAACAATGAACAATGGTTCTAATCATATGCACTCCATCTGTGTAAGCCATGCTTTTGGTTCTTTACATACACCAAGACAGTCATCAGTCAGCTCAGTTTGTGTCTAGTAATCTCAGTCAGGAAGTGCAACAGTATCTTTAAAATGTGTCTGATACCAAACATTCCATGCATGACAGCTGTGGTGTTAGAAACTGTGATAGTAGTCTGAGTGGTCTGGTGGGGTTGATAGGGTTAGGTTGTTGTCTGGTTTAGCCTTGGACAAGCTTAATCTGGTTTGATTTTATGCGAAATGACTGAATCAATCAAGACAAGAAGTGTTAGTTACAACTTTAATTTTGTTGTAACCCACTACTGATTTAAAATCCAACAATCCAATCACATCCTTGGATTCATGTTTGTAATTGTGAAGGAAACTAATTTGTAAAATGGAAACTTACATTCAATAGCTGGAAATATTCCATTACTTTGATTTTAACAAAGAAAACTGAATTTCAATTGTCATAAGTCAATTTTGTGGGGGGTAGCAGAAAAGTAAAATAACTAGTAGTGTAATTAATTACTGTTGGCAGGGAGTAATAAGTTAAGTCACAATATTACTTTTAGTACATAATTACATTTTTTGAGTAACTAGCCAAACGATGTTTTTCACAAGGCTTTTATTGTGAAATATTTGCAGAATCGCATTGAGGAAAATGCGACTGCACTAGTGGTAAAATCCGACATTACCGGTCCGGTATTTCACTATCAAACCGGTTTGAAAATCGGCCCAACCCCTAACAGTATCTTATATTACTTAAATATAAATATGTGGAGATCCCTTTCCTGTATTGTCTTTCCATAGTATGTATGCAATCTGGTAACACTGGTGAAAGCCATTAACAGTAAAAAGCATTGGCTTTTAATATTAAGCATTTCTGCACTCAGATATATTAAAATATAGAGAGGACGGCTGTAAACTGGAGCTCATGGTAACCAGCCGACTAATGGAGCAAAGCCTGCGAGCTAGTTCAGGCAGTCAACTCGAGCTGGCGCTGCTATACAAACGACATGACTCACTCCATAATCAAGCGCACCCACCCAATCTGCAGTCTATTTTAAACTGCACAATTTCCCAGCTCTCCCTCTGCTCTGTAAGGTATTGCTGCCCCACCACCAACACAGCATCCACCTATAGGCTCCGGCTAGTGGTTTAAGGTATTTGCTCATCACTCCCCAATATCTCTATGTAAACATACGTGAGTTGTCTGACTAAACTTATAAAGCCAATTTTAGACAGAGATTATGCAAAATTCATGGTTTCATTTATCTGTTCAAGTGTTGGCTTTTTGTCATTCAGACAGAGGTCTCTGTTAATGTTCTTCAAGGCTTTATTCAGACATGGCAGAATGTCATCCATGAAGTTGCCGTGGATGAATGCTGAAGGGAGGAAGTGAGTTTTTGTCCAACCTCTTTTTCCCTGGTTCCATTTTTATAAAGTCATTTGACATGAGAAAAATCTCCTCAACAATTTAAAATCAGCTGTCACATCTCCCAGTTTATTAAACAGATTTTTTTGGTGTGTAAGAGATGTTAATAAGTGATACATTTCTGAAGTAAGCAGAACGACACATGCACATTT